AATGGGGACAGCGAGGGGACAATGGGGACGGGGGACATGGGGGACAATGGGAGGATACAGAGGCCATTGGGGACAGGAGGGGATGGAGGGACACGGGAGACATGGACGGGAGGACATTGAGAGACACTGAGGGACAGGGAAGGACACGAGGGACATGAGGGGACATGGGGGACACGGTGGCCCCGTCGCTGTCCCCGCAGACCCCGACTCCTTCGACATCCCCGAGGACGTCGCCGCCTCCTTCCTGGCCTCCCTCACCCAGACCGTGGAGGTGGCCGAGGCCAACAGCAGCCGGGGTGCGCGGGGACCTTGGGGACCTTGGGGACGTTGGGGACACGGGGGGACATTGGGGACACGGGAGGGACGTGGAGCTACGCGGTGCCCATGACCATGAGGAGGACGGTGACAGCGGTGACAATGAGGATGGGTTTGGTGATGGTGTTGACCATGACGACGACAACGATGATGATGACGATGATGACAATGGTGATGGCGATGGTGATGATGATAACAATGACGATGGTGATGATGTTGACGATGATGACGATGACGATGGTGGTGACGGCCATGGTGACAATGACAATGATGACGGTGATGACGATGACGATGATGACGATGACGACGATGGTGAAGATGTTGATGACAATGACGATGACGATGGTGATGACGACCATGGTGACGGCCATGGTGACGATGACGATGATGACAATGATGACGATGATGATAATGACAATGATGACGATAATGGTGATGATGTTGATGTTGATGATGATGACGATGGTGATGACGGCCATGGTGACGGCCATGGTGACGGTCATGGTGACGATGACAATGATGACGATGATGACAATGACAGTGATGACGATGATGACGATGATGGTGATGATGATGATGACGATGGTGATGACGGCCATGATGATGGCCATGGTGACAATGACGATGATGACGATGATGATGATGACCATGACGGTGATGACGATGATGACGATGATGACAATGACGATGATGATGATGGCGATGGTGGCCATGATGACGGCCATGGTGACAATGACGATGATGACGATGATGATGATGACAATGACGATGATGATGACGATGGTGATGGCGGCCATGATGACGGCCATGGTGACGGCCATGGTGACAATGACGATGATGACGATGATGACAATGATGATGATGATGACAATGACGATGATGATGACGATGGTGATGACGGCCATGATGACGGCCATGGTGACGCCGCTGCCGCAGGCGCCACGGAGAAGCGCCGCATCCGCGTGGGCACCGGCGCCGCCCTCAACGTCTTCCTGCTCCTCGACGCCTCCAGCAGCGTCTCCAAGAGCGACTTCGAGCGGGCCCGGAGCGCCCTGCAGGAGCTGGTGGAGAAGGTGCCCCGGGAAGGCCGGGAATAACGGGGAACACTGGGAACAACCGGGAATAACCGGGATCCCCCAGGAGCTCCCTGGAGCCTTCGGGACGCCCAGTACCCCTAGGGAGCCTCGGGGACCCCCAGAACTCCCCGGGACACCCATTGGGACCCCTAGGGACCCCCCAGGACCCCCTTGGTCCCTGGGGACCCTGGGACGCCCATTGGGACCCCCAGGGACCCTCAGGGAGCCTTGGGGACCCTCCAGGACCCCCCAGGGATACCCAGGAGCCTCATGGAGCCTCAGGGACCCCCTGGCCCCCCAGGATCCCCCGGGACCCCCAGGGACCCTCAGGACACCCCGGGACCCCCCGGGAGCCTTGGGGACCCTCCAGGACCCCCCAGGACCCCTGGGAGCCTCGTGGAGCCTCAGGGACCCCCCAGGATACCACAGGACACCCATTGGGACCCCCAGAGACACCCCAGGATGCCCTGGGGACCCTGGGACACCAATTGGGACCCCCAGGGACCCCTCAGGA